AAGGCACCAGGAGGCGAACCGCAACCGAGGCTTCGACATCACGCAGTGTGTGGTGGATGTGACCAACTCCGCCTCCTACATTGTGCCCGGGTCACCCACCCACAACCAAGACCTGAAACCTGAGACCCGTTCAAGACCCGACGGAGGCCATACATGCAAACCGCTCAACCCCCCAAACTCCTCAACCCCGAGCCCCAAAACCCATAGCCACAAAAGCCTCCCCCCCATCCACCAAAAAAACTCAAAAAAACAGCCTCCGCAGAAAGCCCCCCCGAATCCCTTGTAACCCTAACTAAGTGCCTTTATACTTATAACCTAAAGCCCCCCCGAACCCCTTGTAACCCTAACCAAGTGCCTTATGAACCTAAAGCATCCCCAAGCCCAGCAAGCCCTCAAGGCCATCAACTCGAAGAAGTCAAAGAGCTAAAAACAGCCCTGCCGAAGCCAGCCCTGAAGACCCCCCTGAAGCACCCCTAAGCACCCCGAAGCGACCCTAAACCCTAAACCCTAAACCCTAAACCCTAAACCCTAAACCCTAAACCCTAAACCCTAAACCCTAAACCCTATACCCTATACCCCATACCCTATACCCTATACCCTAAACCCCAGAACCTCCAGGTGCGAGTCATCCTGCAGATCCGTTCCGCTGCCAGCGCTTGCCCGGACCCGAAGTCCTGCGCTGTCGGCATCATGCGCCGCGGTGGCATTTCTGCGGCTTAGGGCTTAGGGTTTAGGGTTTAGGGTTTAGGGTTTAGGGTTTGGGGTTTGGGGTTTAGGGTTTAGGGTTTAGGGCTACTTGGAGGTTCATGGGTAGTTTGTAAGTGGGGATGCAGGTCGGGTAAGTATAAGAATGATTGGTTATGACCTTATTTCGGGCACTTATCACCCTACTTCTAGCTACCGTGAGCCTCCAAGTAGGGTTGAGTTTTGTTTCATGACCGGTTTCTGGGCGTGCTTATTAAGCGTTTGCTGTTTGGTTCTTAGGATTCAAGCTGGAATCCTCTTCGCCTCCATATTACTCACCCCCCGCACTTCCTAGACACAAGAAGCCCGGAATTTTTACAGCTTTGCATAGGCTAGGAGGGTTTCAAAATTTGATTTCAATGAGGGGGGCCTTATTTGAGGTGTGAGGGCTTCGAAGCTCAGGAACATCATCTCCTCCTTCGCCTGGATCTCCCAGTTCACGGCACTGGCGGTGTCCGACTGTCAGGTGGGCGCTGATCAGAAGGCCTTGTGCACGGCCGACATCTCCGACTCTTGGACTTGGGTCCTACTTGGAGGTTCATCGGTAGGTATAAGTGGGGTGATAAGTCGGGTAGCTATACTTATAGCCTTACTTAAGGTACTTACAACCCTACTTCTAAGTAAGCCCTAAGCCCTTCTTTGAAAGAATCACGCCCTGAACCCTTTTCGGGAAAGTTGGGGCGTAAGTCCAATTGGAAGGAAAGACATCTCGCATAAAAGTAAGTAGGCTCACACGCCTGGGATGCGGTAGTGCGTTTGGCCTGTGTTTTCAGTGTTACCAGGGAAAATGAGAGCGGGCAAAGCATGGCCCAAATCAGCCTCGGGGCACGAAACACAAGAATGCGTTGCGTGTGGAGTTTCTGAGTGGCACCGCCATGGCGAGCAGTACGACAAACCAACGAAGTCGCCTCTTACGAAAGCCGGGTGCCCAAACCCCGCAAAGCCCATTCCTGTCGCTTCCAGGCCGAGATCTAAACGGGATCTGATCAGACCATCTGTTTGGGTAAAGTTCGCCAGTAAAATCACCGGTTATGTTAGCAAGTGGCCTTTCAACAACTTAAACTAAGTTCTAGGCAGTTCTGGGAACAGTTGACTTTCAGGGTTTTAAGCGCTTAAGTACAAAATGAAGAGGTTTGGGTCGGTTGCAATCCGCAGCCGAAGAGCACGATTCCTGTCATCGCACCTTGTCACACGACTCTTCGGCCTGTGCGCCGCTGCCACCGCAAGCCACTAAAACCTGAAACAGCCCACAGACCCTGAACCCCATATCCCTAACACTCCCATAACCTTATTACCCCATAACCCCAAAACCCTACAACCCTATAACCCTAAACCCTAAAAACCCTGATAAGCCTATAACCCTATAACCCCATAACCCTAGACACTATCACCCTACAACCCCTGCAACCCTAAACCCTCTAACCGTATAACCCTAACAACCCTAATAACCCTATAACCCTAATCACCCTATTAACCCGATAACCTAATAACCATATATCCCTGTAATTGGCCTTATAGCCCTATAGCCCTAGAACCCTAACCCTAAGCCCTGTCACCCTAAGCCTTCAATCCTAAGCCCTAATAACCCTGTAATCCTAAACCCAAAGCCCTATAACAACCCTACCAGCCCTACTAACCCCAATATCCCTAATAACCCTAGTAAGCCGAACAAGCCTCATGACCCTAAGCCCTATTTTCCTCAAGGACATGGTGGCCGCGGTAACCAACGGACCCGCAGCCGGCATCGCATCGACCTCGGACTGCGCGGACCTCTAAAGGCCAAGCGGCTTGGAGGCGGTTGAGGTTCAGGGTTTGGGGTTTGGGGTTTGGGGTTTAGGGTTTAGGGTTTAGGGTCTAGGGTTTAGGGTTTAGGGTTTAGGGTTTAGGCTCAGTTGGAAGTTGTCAAGGCCATTGCAGGGTTCAGGTTTGAGAGCTTATGGGCTTGGGATTGAGGGTGTCGGGCGCGCTCCGGGTCTTAATTTTTGTGTCTACCTATCTCTCTTTCTCTCTCTCTCTCTATCTCTCTTTCCTGCAGGGTTTGGTCAACTTAGGTGCCCTCAACCCTCAACCCTCAACCCTCAACCCTCAACCCTCAACCCTCAACCCTCAACCCTCAACCCTCAACCCTCAACCCTCGACCCTCGACCCTCGACCCTCGACCCTCAACCCTCAACCCTCAACCCTCAACCCTCAACCCTAAACCCTAAACCCTAAACCCTAACTTTAACGCGCTCTTGCGGCAGACTTTGCGGCTTTGGCGCTTGAGGAAGAGCGCTTTCAGCCTCCCTAAGCCCAGAACCGTAAAAACTCAATTTTGGGGTTTGTGCAGGGTTTAGGGTGAAGGGTTAAGGGTTTAGGGCTTACGTAGGGCTTAGGGTTTAGGGTTGAGGGTTTTGAGGGATTTCGGGGTGTTGGGTTGGGAGATGCCCAAAGCATTCTCGGATACAGTTTCAAGCACGAGGGCGTGGTGTCGGTCGGTTGCTTGTGAGCCGAAGAAGGCACCGTTCTTCGGAGGGGGGAACCCTCAACCCCGAACTCAAAATTTGCGGTTTTGGAATTTAGGGTTTAGGGTTCAGGGTTTAAGCTTTAGGCTTTAGGGTTTAGGCTTCAGGGCTTAAAGGGGTTCAGGCTACGGGTCAACCCGAAAAACCCGCACCCTTCGGCCTTCAGCTTGGCAAGGACGGGCAAAGGGCCATCGCTGGTAGTGGCGATCTGAGCCGATGGCAGCATGTATGGGCTGTTACATTTTTGTCAACCCATAATCGAATTTAGGGGCACGAGTCCTGGCTGATGGCAAGGGTGTTCGGAGCGTAAGCACACGATGCTAATCTCCTCAGCCCTCTGAACGTTTAGGGTCCTGCAGGAGGGAAGCTGAGGGGAGCATTAGGGAGTAGTGGGGAGGATTGGAGATCGTAAAGAAGCCCTGCCGCTTGGCCATGCTTGCAGCCCCTGACTGTGACTGTATGGTTGGAGACCATCATTCCTTGCGGCGTGCTTTCGCGAACGGCGAAGGCATGCGGCGTGCTCAGTACAGTTCAACGTGCGTCCTGGCGGCTCTCAAGTCCGACATGCCCGAGATCTGTCCTCTAAGATTCAGAATAATCCCTTCAAGGGTATATATAGGGCCCTGTTTCCCTCAGTGCCTTCATTTCGGGAGCTCTGCTTGAGATCGTCCTTGACATCGCCGCTTTGGATGGAGACTCTCAGGACAACCCGTGAGAGAGACCTCCGTCCTGTGCTTGGGCACAAGCCCTGTTCCGGCGTTCATGGCATGATACAGACTGTACTGGCGCTTTTAACCCGAGACGCTTGTTTTCCATTCTATGGCACCTGTGACTTCTACGCAAACGGCCCGCTCCTGCATGGATCCTAGTCCTACACCTACACCCCGAGATTTCCGGGGGCTTGTTCTTTTCCTCTTCGTTCCTCTTCGCCGGTCTCTCTCTTCCTTTCTCTGCGCGCCTGCCTGGCGCTCTGTTTCTGTCTCTCTCTCTCTCTCTCTTTTTCCATCTGTCTGTACCTCCTTGTCTCCCTCTCCCCATCTCCCTCTCCATCTCTCTCTTTCTTCCCCTGTGTACCTTAAGTGGATGTTTCCGAAAAATCTGGGTGCCCTTGAAAGGTGAGGTTCCTATAGTTTCTTTCATGCAGGATAGAATGTTTTGGGGGGTATATAGGGAGGGTGCTATCTTGGGAAGTATCCATATCATATGTATATATACATATGTATATATATATATATACATATGTATATATACATATATGTATGTGTGCATATATATATATATATGCACACACACACACATGTCTCTCTCTCCCTCTCTCTCTCTGCTTGTCTTTTCCCGCTCTTTGTGTTTGGGAGTCGGAGTGGACCTTGCATTCTTCGCCTGAGGGTGTCTGTAAGAGGACCCTGGTGAACAGCTTGATCCAGAAGGGTTAGGAGGTCCCTCCGCGCCCCAAACCCTAGGGTGTAGGGTTTAGGGTCTGAACCTTGAACCCTCAACCCTAAAGACCCTGAGCCCAGAAACCCATTGCCTCAGCCCAAGCGAATCCACACCAAACCCCAAACCTGCATGGGCGGTCTCATGTTCATTTCTCCAAACTGAGGCCCGTTTAGGGGGTTCAGGCTGAGGTTTTGCAAGCCATTACGCGACTCTGTCCAAATAACCCCAAGCCCTCAACCCCAAGCCCTGGCTTAAACCCGAAACTCTAAAACGAGGTACACGTAAGGGGTAAACCTAATGTCCGGTGAGCGGCAGGGGTGACAATGGTGCACCCCTACCCTCAGGCCGGGGGCGTCATGGGTTTCGTGGGCTCCGGATCTACTTGGAGGTTCATGGGTAGTTATAAGTAGGGTTATAAGTTAACTGCAGTCGTGACGTGAGCTTCTGTAGGAACCAAACTTTGAACCCCTAAGCCGCCTAAACCCTGAACCCTAAACGCTATCTTCGGGGTTGCTCCCTAGGCTAAAGACCGGGGGTGAAAGCCAAGAATTCGCAGGGCTTTAGTTGCGGGCCAATGTTTCACATAGTTGCCCACCCCCGCTCCGAACCCCATTCGAAATCTGAGCCCTAAAACCCCCCAATCCCCAAACCCACAAACTCCAACTTCTAGCGTCCCAAGCCCGCCCCCGAAGCCCCGCTTTCTTCACCGAATGCAAGCACTTCCCCTCTAATATCGTTCGGAGGTGAGCGCCTATTTGGGGACCTCAACCCCAATTCCTAAACCCCAGAACCTTTCCTCACCGAATGCATATCGTTCGGCGGTGAGCGCCTATTTGGGGACCTCAACCACAATTCCTAAACCTCAGAACCTTCTGTTCAGGGCTTAGAACCCTCAACCCTCAACCCTCAACCCTCAACCCTCAACCCTCAACCCTCAACCCTCAACCCTCAACCCTCAACCCTCAACCCTCAACCCTCAACCCTCAACCCTCAACCCTCAACCCTCAACCCTCAACCCTCAACCCTCAACCCTCAACCCTCAACCCTCAACCCTCAACCCTCAACCCTCAACCCTCAACCCTCAACCCTCAACCCTCAACCCTAAGCCTACAGTTACACCCCCGGCCCGACACCCTCAACCCCTGAACTTAGCGAGGGTTCTCGCTGGAGCTCTTCAAGCAGAGCCCGGCCGGTTTACTGGCGAGGGCCAGCCAATCGCCCGAGCAGCTGGAGTTGGCCTTGGGCCTTGGCCAGGACACCATGAGCTCCGGTCCTCACGCGGGACTCTCTTGACGGATGCTTCTTTCCTTCTCTTTCATGTTTTTTGTCTCTGTGTGCCAGCTTGTGCCCCAGCCTTGGGCAGTCAGTTGCCGCGACATTACATCGTCGTCGCCGACGGTCATGATTCCGCCTGTTGTCTCCACGCAGCATGTGGCTTGCGGTCCGGTGCTCGGCTGCTCGAAAGAAGCTTTGCCCAAAACAATGACACAGAGGCCGCGGCGCAGCAGAAGCTGCATCGCTCCCGCAAGGTTTCATCAAGAGGCGTACATCCGAGGTCCACGCCGTTCCTTGAATCCGCTTTCCTATTCCGCTGGCACTGACCCAAGCAGGCCTCTACGATCATCTGCCATCCGTCTCAATTGTGCGCGTGTGTTGCATCGCTGCCCTGAAGAGTTCCTTTTGGCTTGCGCACACACACACACACACCGGCTTGTATCTCTATGCATGTTCTCGCCCACGGTTTTCACTTGCATGAAGCGACAAAAAACCGGCAGAGAACTGCGGGATGCTTGTAAACCCTAACGACCCTGCACCCCGAACCTTGAACCAAATCCAAAATCCGCAGCCTATACCCTGCACCCTAAAACATCCAACCTGAAGGTCGAGGGCTCGAAGCCTCTGTCAGATGGCGGTCTTTACCTCGGTGGCTCCCTCGCCGGGGCCCAGGCGCTACTTGGGGCCTTGAGGGTTCAGGGGCTAGCGGTGAGGGTGGTTTAGGAGGGATGGAATTTGGGCCGTTCAAAGTTCAGGCTCCGAGGGTTTTGCGGGCTGACGTTTACGGGTGGGGGCTTCGCGCCTGATGAAAAGAACTACGGTTTCGGATGTCGGGCTTGGGTTTAGCAGCTTTGCAGGGCTTAACGGGCTTTCGGCTTTTAAAGGGCTTTGGAACTTTGACGATTTGGGGCTTAGCGTGGCTCGTCAACTCCTAGACCCTGAACCCTACCCCCCAAAAAACAGCAAAAACAAATACATTTGTTTATGTGCATATATATATATATGTATATCGATACAATAAACACATGATAATAACAAAAAGAATAATAAGAACAATCAGATGAATACTAATAATGATAAACAATAAAAGGCCCCAGCTACTGCTCCCTTCACGCTCTTGAGGTCTGCATGTAGCCAGCTGATGCCAACTGCTGTTCTTTCAGATTCACATACTGCAATACTCGCGCGCAATGTCAGCAGTGCGGCGAGCACAGCTATGGTTGACCAGTGGTCGGTTGACTCTACACATCCACGAGTGCTGCGGGTTACGCGCGCAACAGCCTTACACAGTCCACGTGGCACATTAACAGGAACGGTTGTTGAGCTGGTGCAGTGGCAAAGCTGGCAAAGCTGATGAAGGCGTGCAACAGGAGCCACATAGTAGCCACAGCCAACGCAAACTGAAGAAACGAAACGCGAAGAAACGAAACGGGAAAAACCACAAACCCTGTCCAACCCTCAAGCTCAAGTTGGCAACACAGGATTGGAAGGCCAGGAACATGATCCCAATATGAGGAAGTACGGATGTCACGCAGCCTTCGTGAGATGTCGATCCCGTGCTCGAACCAGCTCCACACTCTTCAGTGTTTCCACAACCCGAGAAGAGCCTCAACAGTCGCAGCATGTTGGCGCACATCACAGCTTTCCAGAAACAACGTCGTGGTGAAGAAGTCGAGATTCTGAAGCCCCCGTTGTGATGAAGGTGTTTTGCCGGGCGTAATCATAGCGCGTGGCCGGCAGCTTGTCCACGAATGCAGAGCTGTAGAAGCATAGGTAGAATCCATTATTGAAGTTATGGGCTCATGTGTCCACAAAGCATGACGTGAAACATTTCCGTCCACCACGATGTTCCTGACCAGAGGTCCCCAGCAGAATGGCCCGTAAGTGGCGAGTCGCTGTCCCCGGTGTTCAGTAGTTCCCAGCTCGATAGCACTGGCCGGCCTCAGGCCGGAACCTTGATCATACAAGCCCCAAGCTACCTCCAGTGCTCATCAGCCGGGGCCTCCCCCGGCTGATTCCATTCTTAGAGAGAACCAGGGTCCATCTGCTGTGGGGTGGCCGTTGACGAGGCTGAACCATGTTGCATAGGCTCTCAGACCCTGTAATGGGTGGGAACGGCTCAAACCAGCCCAAGCAGGGTGGGAACTTGAGGTGGTTGGGTTCAAGGTTTAGGGTTGGCTTCAGGCCCACCCACACAACTTTCTTAGAAATCGTGTGCTGTACGATTCTGATGCTCCTCGGCAGGCGTTCGTCGAAGACGGCACTGGTTCGTCATTGCGGATACGTTTCTTCCTCAACCGCATCGAGTGGAACAAAGGAGACTCGCCAGCCAGATGTACGTAGGCAGTTCGGCGCAAGCCTGAAAGACTGGAGAACTACATCCTCACTATAGAAGGTCTGAAACCCTAGTTAGGCCCCAAACTTTGGCTGACAGTGTCTGCAAAGCAAGGGATTGGGATTTAGTGCTTCCCATTTTGTAGGACGACCACCGGGACATCTGTTCGGAGAGGTGAGGGTCTAATGATTTGGGTTAGGGAAGGGCTTAAAGCCTTGGATACCCGAAACCCTAGAAACCCTTCCAGGAGAGTTCGCGGCGGACTTGGATGGCTCCTCGGCCTTACCTGGGGTCTTCAATCCGGTTTTCAACAAGGGTCCGTAATTTAGATCGACTTTTCGTTCGGGTTTTACCCTAAATCTTCAACCCTAGACCCGAAACCCTAAACCCCAAACCCCAGACCCTAGACCCCAAACCCTACACCCGATTGGGTAGGCGCAGCGCAGTCGGGTGTTCAGCGAGACCAGGGCAGGCTCTGCTGGGCTGCTGAGCCTGCTCCCTGGCTCTGCTGGGCTGCTGTGGGGGCCTCCGGGCAGTTCAGCCGGAGAGGCTGTAAGAGGGTTTAGGGTTTAGGGTTTAGGGTTTAGGGTTTAGGGTTTAGGGCTGAAGGGAGATTGCTGGGAGGCCCCTCGACCCAGCAAAGGCCCACGGGCTAAACCTGCAGGCTTTTGGGGGCTTGGAGGCTCGCAAACCTCGGCAAAGCTCGGGCAAGCGGTTAAATGCTTCAATATGTTTCTGGATTGAAGATATTCGATGAGGAAGGCCCTTCAACCTAGAATACCCCAACGCGCAACCCTGTCCCTGCAACCTTTGCTTTTTGGTGAGGCCCCAAATTTTTCGAGCAGCGTTCTTGGTAACAGCGGGTTGGGCGGGAATAACACCGTGTATAGGGGGGCATAACACCGCGTAGGGGGGAGACGGCACGTGTAGGGTTGGGGAGGGGATCAGGGTTTAGTGGGGGGGGGGCGGGGTGGTGGGGGGGCGGCAATGTGGGGGAATCAGGGATTTGAGGTTTTCAGGCTTGAAGCCGTCGAAACGCGGGGGGAGGGGAGGGGGGGGGGGTGGGGAGGTGGGGGCGGCAACGCGGAGGGATTTGAGGTTTTCAAGCGAAACGGTGATTCCCCTGCACGTGGGGGGAGGGGGGGGGAACGGGAGGGGGGGGGTTGCAACGCGGGGGAATCAGGGATTTGAGGTTTTCAGGCTTGAAGCCGTCGAAACGCGGGGGGAGGGGAGGGGGGGGGGAGGTGGGGGCGGCAACGCGGGGGAATCAGGGATTTGAGGTTTTCAGGCTTGAAACCGTCGAAACGGTGATTCCCCCGCACGTGGGGGGAGGGGAGGGGTCGAACGGGGGGGGGAGGGGGGAGGGGGGGGGTGGGGGTGGCAACGCGGGGGAATCAGGGATTGGAGGTTTTCAGGCTTGAAACCGTCGAAACGGTGATTCCCCCACACGCGGGGGGAGGGGAGGGGGGGGCAACGCGGGGGAATCTGGGATTTGAGGTTTTAAGGCTTGAAAGATTCGCGCGCGGGGGGAGGGGAGGGGAGGGGGGGGGGGGGGGGGGGGCGGCAACGCGGGGGAATCAGGGATTTGAGGTTTTCAGGCTTGAAAGCGTCGGAACGGTGATTCCCCCGCGCGGGGGGGGGGAGGGGGGGGGGAAGGTGGAAAATTTGGTTTCTTTCGGCTGTTGTCGATCTTCCAAAGCTCTGTGACCTGAAACCACCAGATTTCCCAAGCTTTGTGAGCTGAAACCTTAGTTTGGTCTCCCGGCTGTTGTTTTGATGGCCTCCGAGCCAAGCAAAACGGGAGACCAGATTTTCCAAGCTCTGTGAGCTGAAACCTCCAAAAGTTGGTCTCTCGGCCCTTGTTTTCAGGGCCTCCAAGCCAAGCACAACGGGAGACCAGATTCTCCAAATTTGGTCTCCCGGCTGTTGTTTTCAGGGCCTCCCAGCCAAGCAAACGGGAGACCAGATTTTGCAAGCTCTGTGAGCTGAAACCTCCAAAATGTCGGTCTCCCGGCTGTTGTTTTTCGGTGATCCCCACCCCCTCCCTACGCGTCCCCACCCCGCCTCCCCCCCCGCGCTGTTATTACCCCCACGCGTGGTTATTCCCCCTTTTTCCCCGCCGCTACTGCGCGCTCTCCCTGAATTTTCGAGCGTCCCCAGCATCCAACGTGATCATGTTCTGTTCGAAGCTCTGCTGCGGAAAGCCCTTCGGCCTAGAATGAGCTGTGTCGAGACTGTTTGCACTCGGCATGCTCCCTTTTGTTTCAAGCGTCTCATGTCCTTCTTATGACCTGAAATAGCCTGGAGATGTTCGAAGGAAGGCCCTCAGCCCCAAACCCTAAACTTTGGATCCTAAACCTTCAGTCCTAAACCATAAGTCATAAACCCTAAACCCTAAACCCTAAACCCGAAACCCTAAACTCTAAACCCTAAACCCGAAACCCTAAACCCTAAGCCCTAAGCCCTAAGCCCTAAACCCCAAATCCCCATTCCCCAAGAAGCCTCAAAGCCTTCAAGCCCGACGTGCAAAGGCGATGGCCGCTCCTTCTTGCCTGTGCCGGGGCCTCTGACGCCGAACCCCTAAGCCTTAATGTAGGGTTTAGGGTTTAGGGTTTAGGGTTGAGGTTTTTTTTTTTTGCTATGGCCGTGCGCGCTGCAGTTTTGCGCGCTTAGGCGCCAGCTCAAAAGTTGGACTTCGCACTTGTCGGGCAATCTTAGCATAAAACTGGTGTGGTCCTAGTATGCCTGCGGCGTGGTCCGGCTTGAGGTCGGGGAAATGTCTATTGCTTGTTACTTCTAGCCAATACGGAAACTGCATAGGGTTGAGGGTTTAGGGTTTAGGGTTTAGGGGTTTCTTGAAAGTTGGAGGCTCCTTTGTTGAGGAGCCTTCTAAAGGGATAGTAGAAAGGGTGCAGTCGATTTAGGATCACTCCGAGGTCAAAGGGGCGAAGATGTTCGGGGGGTTCAAGGGTTCGGGGTTGACAAGAGTTCTTAAATCCTGAACCCTACACCCCTAAACCCTTAACCCTGAACCCGTAACCCCAAACCCGTAACCCTAAACCCTTGAAGCGTTCACAGTCCAGGGTTTTGTCGGGGACCTTAGGGTTCTAAAGGTCCGGAGCCTCAGGATTCATGCTTTGGGCTAGGGAGTTATCTGCGATCCCCCGTAGAATCCGAGGGTTTCGGGTCTTGGGTCCAAAGGATCTTCTAGGGTACCTAAGTCCCTAATTCCCTGCTAAGAACCCGCTTTGTACATCGCGGGGGGCGAAGTGCCCTACAATGAGGTGCTCTGCAAGGTGCCCCTGAGCCTTACACCCTGAAGTTCCGAAGCTCCGCAAGCCTCGAAGACTCATGTGAGGGGTTTACGATAGTAGGGGTACCTTTATTGGGGTGCCGATTCTCGGGGGATCCCGCCATTTGGAGATTTTTATTAGGGGCCCCTTATTTTCGTCAACCCCATATGAACGATTGTTCCACATTTTCTTCCAAATGCGGCAGAGGATGAACAATAATCCGTTCTGGCCAGACCAAGATGCGCACTACGCTCCTCGCGGATGATTTTGCAATGTGTGAAGGAGAGCCGGCTACGTGTTCAAATGCATCTTTGCATCCAGCGGTTTTGCCATCTGGCTTGGCATATCTTTGGCAGTTCGTGTACCTTGTTCTTCTTCATAGCCAAGCCTTTCTTTTGACCAGCTCGAACTACAGCCTAACCCCTAACCCTAAACCTTAAACCCAAAACCCTAAACCCTAAACCCTAAACCCTAAACCCTAAACCATAAACCCTAAACCCTAAATCCTAAACCTTAAACCCCAAACCCTAGACCCGAAGCCGCCTTGACTGCGGCGCAGCTTTCAGGCGCTGTTCTGTTGACGTCGTGCTGACAGAGGTGCCCTGGCTTCCACGGGGTTTCCGGGTTGGGGTTCTGAGGGCTCCTACTCACAGCCCAAGTTCAGGGTTTAGGGTCTATAGGGTGTAGGGTCATGTGTCATCCCTAAATTGTAGGCCCATGGGGGCTTGGGCCATTGAAGTTATCACGTGTGGCTACTGCCTTTTGTGACTTGTTCAGTCGGGATTACCCTACAAAACTGGATTTCAGCATCAACCACCTTCAGTTTGTTGCTATATATATATATATATATATATGTCGGTGGTGATGGTAATGGTAAGAGAACATGTTCATATGATCACTAGCGACCATGTTCCCGGAATCGCTTTTTTTGACGTTCATCCGCGTTGATACTTCAAGGTTATGGTGCTTTAGGGTTGTAGGGTTCATGGTTCACCCTAAACTCTGACCCCCAAACCTCTAATCTAGGGCAAATTTGGCGTTTAGGGTTTTAGGGTTGAGGGTTTTAGGGGTTAAGAGGTTTAGGGTTGAGGGTTTTAGGGGTTTAGAGGTTTACAGTTGAGGGTTTTAGGGGTTTAGGGGTAGGGTTACGGTCCAGGGTCTGGGGTTTGGGTTGAGGGTTTAGGGTAAGCCCGTGGCCCTTCGCTTTTTCCTCTAGCGCCCCGTCGCAGACCGATGCCGTGGATGCGAAGCCGCTCTGGGCAAAGGCGCAGTTGACAGTTTGGGGGGTTCAACCCTAAACCCTGAACCCTAAACCCTGAACTACAGTAAACCCTGAAACCCGAAACTCTAAACCCTAAGCCTGAAACCTAACCCTAAACCCTAAACCCTCGGCTTGCGCATGGCCGGTTTTCTAAGTTATCGTCCCCAGCGTTTGGTACCCGACGCAATACGAGGACGGAGTACTAAGGCGGGCCACAAGAGGGGTCCGAATTTTAGACCTGACCACCTCAGTCCTCAAGACCCTAACCCTTAAATCCTGAATCTCTAGGTTCCAAACCCTAAACTCTAAACCCTAAACCCTAAACCCTAAACCCTAAACCCTAAACCCTAAACCCGAAACCCTAAACCCCAGGTGGTACAGGAGGATGCACCCTGAAGTTTGACGGCTTTCCTGAGGGCGTGTACGTTGAGAGCATTTGGGGGTTCAAGGCGGAGGGGAGGAGGAGAAGGTGGATGTGGTTGTTCGTGTTTCACGTCTGGAGAACGCTGACGGTCCGCCCGAAAAAGGTGATTCCAGTTAAAAAAAAAAACCCCAAACCCTAAACCCCAAACCCTGCAAACCTTAAGCCGCAAGCCCTATCGACTTTCAGGAGGATTCTAACTAGGGGCATTCTGAGCCTCAGCCGCCCTGGCGCCAGGTGGCCGAGCTGGCAGGAGGAGCTGTTGCAGAAGCAGGACTTCCCCTAAACCCGAATCAGAGCCTGCCCTTAACCGTTTGTGGCGTTGGGGGGGCCTTGAGTTTTGGGGGGATGGGCTGGGGTTTCCGAGGTCTTGGCGGGCCTGTACGCACGGCTCTGCAAAAACGAGTAGCTCGCCACAGCATTCCTCCACCACCACCCCCACCACTTGTTAAAAGATGATTGTTTGTTTATAACCGCATTAGGGGTAGAACAGGGGTTTAGGGTTTAGGGACAGCCTGATTCAGGGTACTTACAACCCTTCTTTCAACTACGTACTCGAATCCTGAAACAGAGCCGAAGCTTTGCTGTTGTGGATGTATGGCCTGGGGTTGCACAGCAAAGGGACTGCATGGGTTTCACTCGATGGGCTCGCGCAGAACTTCGCAAGCCCAAAAGCGATGCGTTGTTCAATTTTCTGAAAAGCCCTTGTTCAATTTACTTAACCGCCCTTGTGCTTGAAGTGACAAGAGGAGCTTTGAGACTAGGGCCCCTAAGCCCTAAACCCGAAACCTTAGACCCTCAACCCCAAGCAAGCCGGCCCACCCGGCAACCTCCCTGTCAGTTTCCCGGAGATGTTCTGTTTGTTTTTTTGGGTTCTATACGGGACCCTTTGTACAGACGTTTTCTTCATGGGTTTAATGGCCAACCTAGGTTAGTATGTACCCTACATGTATACATAACTCTAAGGGTAAGCCTTGAATTTCAAGCTCAGTTTCCTCCCTTTGCCACCCAGGACGCCAGTACGATCTTCTCTGACCAAATCGCTTCAAAGAGTCTTTGGAGCCAGCCCTTTCCATTGCTTCGTGCTCAGGGTTTGGTTTAGGGTTTGACAGGGGTCTGGGGTGGATCTTGATGGAACCTGCTGGTACCTTTCGGGGATGACAAGGTGTCAGCCTCCTACCTTTGTGTGGCGCCTACTTGCCTAGAACGTATTGGTATAGGTAGCATGCATTTTCGTGGGCTGGGTTTTTTCTTGATTGGGAACTAGAGTGCCGAGTGCCGTATGCCATTAATCATTAGTTGTGGATGGAACACATCTAGATGTCGAGACGGTATGCATGATTGTTCGATGTTGGTCGCAGATTCTGTTGCGGAGGTCTGCATTGGACGGGATCACCGGGGTGTTTTGGCATAAGGCAGCATTTCTCATATCCGTTCTAACCTAAACCCTAAACCCTAAACCCTAAACCCTAAACCCTAAACCCTAAACCCTAAACCCTAAACCCTAAACCCTAAACCCTAAACCCTAAACCCTGTATTCAGTCAATTTCATACAGCCATGTCAGCAGCTTCGCATACAACAAATTCTAGTCGTGCCTTTCAGTACGAGAGCAAGGACGACGGTAAGACCATAGCTGTCTCTCCTATGGGATCACGAAATGAAGTATTGTTGAGAGCACCTAATCTCAATACATATGAACTTGAAACATAAGTTGTAAAGTTGATTGTTTTGAGCATCTATGTTACGCGTTTTAGGTATATCATTCTCGTCGCACGCCGCAACGGACCTCATTTATCATGGGCATTTCAGGCTTTTTGGTGCCAACAAAGAGAATTTCCTTGCGAGGCACGTGGAAGCAAATGTACATCTGCTGGGACGGGCCGTTGATCCGAAGACCCTAAACACTAGAAGGCCACAAAAGCTGAGGAAGGGTCGAAGATTTCCAGGTGCAAGTCGGGCCTTTCATCCCAAGCTGTGGCGGCGCTGGCTCAGATGCCTTGGTTTTTCAGTTTTTAACGTTTGTGCAAGTCAAGGCTCCGTCGGGCGCCATGGGTTGCAAGCATAGCCAGGCCCAGGCCGCCGTCGCATCTCGTCCGAAGTGTCTCCGGGATGGCTGCGCGTTCGCCAAGCACACGCAGCAGCCGCATGGATACTGCTGCAACGCGTGCAAGGCGAATGGTCAACATGGGCCTTTGTGTGAGCAGCAGGCTTTCTCTATGGCCGCGTCTACCAAGCAGGTGGTCCCTGCCACTGCGCCCGCAGCACCTGCAGTGCTTACAGGGACTACAGCCGGCGATCGTGTTTCCCTAACTTGGGCGCCCTCATTGCTGTTCCTGGGACTCCAAGACTCCAACAAGCCTAAACAGTTTGCCCAAATGCAAGGCAGAGTAGGGCATATTCGAGTATAACCCCCCCAAGGTTGAGTAGGCCATAGCCTAGACCCCAAACCCTAAAAACCAAACGATGAACCCTAAACCCCAAACCCTAAACCTTAAACCCTAAACCCTCAACCCTCAACCCTAAACCCCCCCAAATAGCATGGGACCAACGCAGCCGCAGGTTTGGGAAGACAACGAGTCTAGGGATGGAGCCGTCCCCCGAGCTGAGGGCCACAGAGACGATGCACATTGTTGCTCATAAAGGCGCCCTTTGAGGGAGTTTGGGGTTTGGGGTTTAGGGTTTAGGGTTTGGGGTTTAGGGTTTAGGGTTTAGGGTTTGGGGTTTAGGGTTTAGGGTTTAGGGTTTGGGGCTTAGGGTTTAGGGTTCTCGGTAGCCCAGTGGCGCCCTTTCGAGCCTTTTTCTTTGGTTCAAGGTGGTTCCCATGCAAGATAGCCCACCCCCCCCCCCAAAAAAAAAAAGGGTAGCCTTGTGACAGTGCCAAGAAGGTGAGCTCTTCGCAGCTTTCGGAAGATGGATGGACCCAAAGCTGCAGAAGCTTTGTCATAGTTGGGTAACATTTTGCATTTTTAAGGGTACTTAAACCCAATAAGGAATATACATTTAGTTTTTTGAATAATATCAGTTTAGTGTTTTTTAAAGAATATCCCAACCATGAACAAGGAAAGGCCAGCAGCCCGCCAACTTCGTTGGGAGGCTCAGCGCTGCCGACGGCCAGTGGGTGCCGGACATGCACCGTCAGGGCCTCTCCGTGCATGCCCTGCGAATCACGTGCTTGAAGCTCTATCCCCCTTTGGGAATTACCATTATTATTATTATTGTTTTAAATATAATTTTTGGTCATATAAAACCCAAGAGGATATTGAAGATGGTGTTTTTTTTTTAAAGGTTCTAAGGGGAGTGTAGGAAGAGCATCTCGTGGACCCGCGACTGTCGTGGGAACGAGCTGAGCCCGGCCGTTCAGCAGCTGACAGCGTGCTACGTCTTGGGCGAGCATGGCAACATGATCATGTTTCGGGACGATGGGGACAGCAGCGCGCCCGGGACACAGCACAAGTGGCACGAAACGAACTACACCGGGAAAGTGCCCGGCTTCAAGAACAGTGGAACTGCGCGGGCGGTCGTCGTTTATCGCGACTCGGTGACTGGCATCGACCGCGCCTTGGCGATTTGATGCGACCGTCTCTTCCAGACTTTGCAGTTGCACCTTAAGGTGTGTGTGTATATATGTATATATGACCCTACCATTACCTTGAACACTAAACCCTAAACAAGATAAGAAATATACGGATATAAGTACAGAATCATATTTGTCTACAACGATATAAACATACACTTATGGAGTTCAAAAAACATATAGATATATAAATATTTGCTCATACAATGCTATATTTACATAACATATAATTATGTAATTAAGAGTCTTTTTCGTAATTTCATGAGATAATTCTAAAACATTGCAGTTTTTATCATTGTAGAATTATGTGTATATATATATACACACACACACATTTTTCTAGTTTTATACATATATTCTCTATCATTTTGTAGTATAATGCTATTTCTGATGTTCTAATTAAGTAATTGTATAGTTATCGAGTAAGATAATTGAAAAATCTAACATGATGTAATAAGACAGATAGTAATACAAAAGGATATAAGAATCAAGAATATAACACTATAAGGCAATACAAGTATAAGAATATAAGATTATAAGAATATTTGAATATTAGAATATTAGAATATAAGAATATAAGAATATAAGAATATAAGAATATAAGAATATAAGAATATAAGAATATAAGAATATAAGAATATAAGAATATAAGAATATAAGAATATAAGAATATAAGAATATAAGAATATAAGAATATAAGAATAAAAGAAAATAAATAAGACCATAGGAATATAAGAAGGTAAGACGACAAGAAGAGAATAACATACTAACATCGTAGCATCATAGTATCACGATATCATCTCATAATATCACACCACCAGAATATCATAATAGCATGGCGTGCATGGCGTCGAAATTAATACCATATTTTCATGCTATCATAATAGCATAGTATCATAAATCCATAAGATCATAATCTCATAATCTCATAATCTTATAATCTCATAATCTCATAATCTCATAATCTCATAATCTCATAATCTCATAATCACAAAATCTATCATAACATTGGAATACCAGAGTAGGGCTTAAGGGTCCACGGGTCTCAGGGTATTAAGGGTTCAGAGTTCAAGATTTGGAGAACTTAGTGTTTAGGCTTTAGGCTTGAAGTCCTTGAGGCTTTCGGGCTAGAGTCGTTTAGGGTTTAGGGTTTAGGGTTTAGGGTTAAGGGTTTATTTCTTGAGGCATCTTCGCCCTGCACGGCTGCAAGGGGGTCATGACTGGGGTGTACGATCCGCAGAGCTCGGCGCCGGGGCACGTGGTATGGAACAAAGAGCCCGAGACTTGGTGGTGCTCTACTGTAGCTTTAGATCTTTAGCCTTTTTGGGTTTATTGGGTTTCTTAGTAAGGCAGCTAAAAGTTTCATTTTTTACTAACCTCCTAAGTGCAGCCAAGGAGAGGATGGACTTGCCAGGAACCCAGCTTCCGGATCAGGTTTGCGAGTGAGGTTCCGTTGGTGACCCAGGAATAAACGATGCGAGCGACAAATCACGGTATTCAAGATACAGATGCGAAAATCGGCCAAAGAACACTTCAAATACTAGCAACTGGTTTATCAGAATCATAGGGCTCACATGCAGAGATTTTCGCGCGAGGAGGGAGAGTTGCGACCACAGGGGGTGTGTTGGCGAGTTGGGAGCCCAGGTCGCAGGTGGGAAATGGCAAGGCGACGAGCTTGGAGTTCCGCCCCCTGTGCCTTGGAGGGGGGGGGGGGTGTTGATTCATGAAAACCCGATGTTGGGGTCTTCAGGGAGTAGGATTCTTGTTCTGGGGGCGCGAAAAACCCGACAGAACCCGATGGCTCCAGATTTTTTTGAGTGTTGCAGGTCCCTGGTCGTCGCGAATGGGAAGCTCTTCATGTCAAGTGCTTCCTGGATCTTGCAGCGCATCGACGGCCCGGAGCCCGTTTGGAAGGGCATCATCGACATCGCTAAGGTTCCTGGGCCCTTGGGATACTGTTATGTTGTCCCTTTCTTGGTTTCAGAGGGTCATGCTTAGAATTTGTCAACCCGGAACCCCAAACCCCAAACCCCAAACCCCAAACCTCAAACCCTAAACCCTAAACCCTAAACCCTAAACCCTAAACCCTAAACCCTAAACCCTAAACCCTAAACCCTGAACCAGAAGGCCTCGGGGGTCCAACTCCCAGGTGCGCCAGGGGGATGGCCAGCTGAACGAAGCGGTGGGGGGCATCCGGGGCATGACCGCAGTGAAGTGCCCGTCCCTACCTGACCCTTGGGTTTAGGGTTTAGGGTTTAGGGTTTAATGTTGACTTCGCATTAATAAACCCCCCCCCCCCCCCCCCCTTCATTGATCAATCTCTCCGGCCAGGGCCTCCTCAATAATGTTCGCCTAAATCCTGGTAGGACGTACTATTAGTTTTAGTATTAGGTAGTAGCACCACGCCCGTAAAAACCGGATTTCCCGGGTCGGATTTTACAATTGTGGCGGGCTACACTATTGTGTTCCGGCAGCGGGATTTTACAATTGCGGCGGGAATCACTAATGTGAAGTCAACATTAGGGTTTAGGGTTTAGGGTTTAGGGTTTAGGGTTTAGGGTATAAAAGGTTATATAGAATCTTACAACGTAGAGGTTATCCTTTTTTGACCGAACAGTGTTCAGCCCTAAGGACCGCGAGTCCATCCTCTTCTGCTGGAACCCGAATAGCATCCCGGTATGCCCTTGGTGATGTATTTTCTGGGTTCTGACTGATACTTTCTAAAATCATGTTGCCAAAACGAGCCGTCTTCCAATTTTTTGTATCTGGCACTTCTATGGTGGCTTAGTTTCAGGCAACAAAAGCCCGCGTTAACCAGTCTCTAGTAGGTTGAAGAAGGTGCCGTTGATAAATGGCCAACCTAGGCAACTCGGAATCCTGGATCCTCCGTGCTGATCCCGCAGAGGATGGGTCCCTGAAGCAGCCGGTGGAGGAGACTTCCATCCGCCGGGTGGCAAAAAGCTACCTGAAGACTGAAGATTTGTACTATACCCTGGCTGCTTACAACAACATGCTTCCTGCCTCGATGGGATCGCAGGCCTGCCACTTGATCGGCTTCGAAATCTACTTGGGCAGAGCGGCGGCTCCTATGGGGGGCTTGGACTCTGGGCAAGCGAAGAATGCTGCGGGCTACTGGGCTGGCGGGGGCATAGCCGTGCGCGCGGGTCCGGACGACTACTACATGGTGGAGGTCGGGGGCCGAGGCTCAAAGACAAGCCGGCCTCTAACAGCGGTGCGTTGCTTCGAGCATTCGCCTTTCCCGAGTGAAGCTGGGGCGATTTACTTCGGTGGCTATGACTGCAACAGTAATCCATCGGATAACACTGCATGGATTTACAAGAGCAAGCCCGCATGAACGTGAGCCCACGCTGAGCCCTGAACCTGAAAGCCCACGCTCTGAACCCTCAAGCCTTTACCCCTGAATGCTGTGCGCCAAGTCCCCAAACCACGCGACCCGGCCGCAAAGCGGCCAAGGGTCCGAAGCCGGCTGCAATGGTCCGAAGCCTGCAAGGTCAACAGACAGACGCGGTTCGGCAGGATCGATTCCTAAGGGCTTACTTGAGGGTTGATTGTAGCATGACTTGACGCTCGAAGAGATGTGGTCTGTGTGGCCACTTTGAGCATTGCTGAGTGTTGGCTAGGTAAATCAGGTGCACTTTGTTAATAACTGGGCGGAAGTTTCAGACTGCAGGGCAATCGATACTGCTGTCAGATCAACTCCCCTCCTCACTGTATGATGTTTCAGGCACATGCTTTGTCAATGCTTTGTTGCAGAAATCAAGAAATCTCAATCGAACAGGCTGAATTGATCTGTGCAACGGGTAGAGCACCTGAAGCGTATCAGTTTTCGGTCAAGAATCTCTTGGCAGTTGCCACTGCAGCCGTAGAGGTACATGCATGAATGGCAAAGAAGTGTTGAAATTCTGAGCGAATAGAGATGTCATATTCAGGATTTCATGGTGCTGTTTCTCTGTTGGATGATTGATTGTGACAAAGTTTGCAGCAACAGCATAGCTGTCATGGAGACTTCGACAACCAGTGCAGTCAGCATCATTGAGGACGTGCACTGCAAGCTGCGTGAGGAGCAGCGACGGATTTCGAAAGTTGACTTGGCCGCGGCCATGAAATATGGAAAGAAAAGCGTGTCCATCACCCCCTCTGGGCCAAACGAGGGTGTTGCAAGATTGATGTTTGAATATCGAGGCACAACCTATATCACTGACAGCAAGGGTGAGCGTCAAGTGACTTGCTGGGCCAAAGGGTTGACTTTTCCAGAACTTCCGATCGAGCCTGAACGGGAAGAGCATCTGAGAGAGCACCGTGACTTCTTGAAGAAATACCCGTCCAACATTTCCAGTCACATCGTGTTTGTCGTTGATCAGAGCGGGTCCATGAAGTTGAGTGATGTTCCTGGTGCCAGAAACCGCCACTTTGCAGTGTTCTCCTCGATTCTTCTTGACTATATCTTGCCATCAATTGTGGAGGAGAAGGCAGACAGTGGCCATGATGTCATGACCATCATGGACATGCGGGATACAACGAAGATCATACTTCATCGGGAGCCGCTGGACGAGCTCACGTACTACAAAGTTGTCCGCTTGATGAACAACACCACGCCAGGAGGTCAAGGGAACTTTATTCCGGCGTTTGCACGTGTGCATGAGCTGTTGGCACCGACACCGAAACCATCGGAGAGGTGCGTCCCGGACTATTCACAAACCCGGGTGCAGGTGGTTTTCCTTACGGATGGCCGGCCCAGTGACAAAAAACGTCAAAACGCATGGTCTGGACTTTTTCCTGGCCACGCAGTATGACTGGGTCTTGAAGAGAGTGATCGAAGGTGTCCAAAGAATTGCTTCAAGTCTACAGAGGAGATGCACCTTTAAGTTTGTGTCCTTTGGTGCAGCATCTTCAGGCAAAAGAAGCCATGAGTTTTTAGTTCGATTGTGCGATGCTGCCAAGAGTGCAGGAGCTGAGGCAGACGCAATTGACACAGAGACCTCCACAGAGAGGTTGGGAAGTGTATTGACATCGGTGCTGTCCACTTCAACAGCCCACTGTACTGCTCTGGGTCCAGGACAACGGCTTGAGCCCAGGCGTTTGCTGGCTGTAGATACAAGTTTGAGGCTGCAAGACGAGATTCAACACCTTGATCAGTCCCAGCATCCCAATCTGAAAGATTTTGATGTAGTATCTGCGTCGAAGAACAGCTTGGGCAGGGTGCTCTTTAAGAAAATACCAGACCAGAGGCACCGGGAGGCTGAGCCGATCCCCCTGCAAAGCGAGGTTGCAGATGGCTTGGCAGTCTGCAAACAGCCCTTTGGTCAGGGTGGGGAGCGGTTTGCCTTCATTGCAAGGGAAGTTCGGGGTGCAAACGATCCCTCGACTTGCAGATTTGTAGGAGCCTGGCTAGTGGCAAAAAAATCCAGCAGGATCAGGTCTGAAGCGGAACGTGGCTTCCACGTGATGTACACAAAATTGCAGAAGACAGCGGATAGGTTGGCCAGGAAGTTCAATGAGCGCCTCCTCTTTCTTGAGAATGTCTTGAGCTGTCTTCTTCCACGCGTTGAGTTTCTGGAGTGTTCAGTGTACTCGTGGAAACGCGAAGAGAGAGAACAGCTCGAGGTGAAGACTAAGGAGTATGAAGTGCAATGGCTGAAGACGGAGGCCGAATGTCTCGTGGAGCCGCTTCTGGACGCCAGCAAAGAATTCGTCAAATTCAACAGTAATAGTGGCTATGTCGGTGAAGGAGCAGCAAAGGAACAGCGGCAGGATTGGCATGTGAACCAGATGATGCGCCAGTCTCAGGGCTAACAGTGTGCTCATCGCGATGACACTGGTTTGGCGGCAATCTTAGAGGACGAAGATGAAGAGGAACCTGAGAATGCTGATGTGCCTTGGGCAAATTAAAACCCAAGAAGGCTAGGAATATTGCGGTTTCTGTTGAAGCTCGGTTCATTGGTTCATGTGGTTCATTGGTGCATGAAGCAGTGCATTTCAATCATTAAGTAAATAAATACATAAAATGTGTGAACAACAGGTTAGTTGTGCAGGAGCAATGGGAAACCAAGGTAGGATCTGTCATCCCTTGTAGCCGTATCTGGAACCCTACACCCAATCCGGTTTTCATGCAACGCACCTTGCATGTGTTTCGGCGGCTTTCAGGTTCTTGCTGCAGGCGCTAAATACAAGTGGCCGACGCCCGCAGCGAACCTGAAGGACAGACTGCTTGGATTGCATCCTTGCGAAACAGCCCAAGCGTTTTCGCACTACACCTACATGTACACGCGGCGTGAGCTTCTAGTGGTCGATTTGCAGGGCAAGGTGATTGCAAATGGAAAACGCCAAGTTCTGAGGCTGACAGATCCAGCCATCCACTCTTGGTCGGGTTTCCGCAGGAATGCCCGGTATGGTCAAACAGATAAAGGGGAAGATGGAATGCGCAAGTTCTTCAAATATCATCAATGCAACGTGCTTTGTGACAGCCTTGGTATTGGCATGCACGACACGTCATGGCGATAACGCCAATAGTGCATGTCGATGCCTTCATGCATAAGCCAGACTGGACCCTTGCGACTCGCTCATTCAAAAAGAAACGCCAATGGAACTCCCAACACTTGATATTTTGGGGCAATAGTGAATGAAAGAAGAGAAAAAGTTGAGATAAAATTTTAAGATGCAAAATTTGGAATTTTGAAGGATTGATTCTTTCTATTCTTGCATTCGTGATGGTTTTAAATTCACTACA